ATTGTGTTGGGACAAAGGTTGATCGTTCTAAAGCAACGAATATTAGGACTCGTGATCTTTTACCTTCAGGATCACTGTGTTTCATACGACAGATTTTACAAAATAAAAGTTAAAATATCTGCTAAACCAATGATTTTTTTATAGGGTATGTCAAAATGGATCGACCGATCTATTGCGGAATATATGATCCCATTAAAGAAAAATTGATCTTAATATGCTTTTTACGTTTCCACCTACAAAACAATTGCTAACGTCGAACCATGTAACTGTTATTCGAAACGTTCTCCGGTTTAATGAATAGTTTCAGAAATATTCATAGGGATCGGATTAAATAATTTAGGACACCTTATATATTAATGTATAATTAAGAACTCTCATGTACTCTTTTTGCAAAACGCTTGTCAGTTATATCTTTTATGCCAATGAACAAAGATTTTTATAATACAAAGACTCGTTCTTTTTCAAGTGTTTCCATCTGTAAAAATATCATTTCTTTCCAGGTGTGTTCTTCAACAACAGAGTGGAACACGTCAAGTTCGTCGATTTCTGTGGCAAGTATCGTCTACCTCTGCTACAGTACCTTTGTAGCAGGAAGTGCATAGAATCACGGGACGGAGACGAAGTAGTCAGTGGCGCGATGATAAGGAAGGTTCTTCTGGGCTGATTGATATTACTGGAATTTTGTATTAATATTACCGAAGGCTGTTACGTTTTGCGTTCAGAGGGCGTTAACGACTGAACTATCGCGCTATTCATCGGCGAATTCTCTCTCTGTGCTCAAATCAGATCAAACGCGAGTATCAGGTTCAAGAGTCGAAGGCTAAGCATAGAGATACGCGAGGAATTACGTTCGACGATAAATCAAGCGTTTCGATCAGACAAATTTGAAATTGAAGATTACGTTAAAATCGAAAGTTGGAGGGAAGTGGAAGTTCGAGGTCGAATTTTTGTTCGTCGACCGAGCACTCGTATTGACTAAACGACATTGTCGCTAAGAATAAAAAGTCTTTCAAAGATGACGAATTACTTATATGTATGAGTCTGTTTACGCATACAAATTTCTCATATGCGTGAACAAATATTTCGTAAAATAAATATTTCATCGAGATCGATTCGAGCTTAATTCGCTTCATACTTACTCCACCGTCCATCGTGCGGAACCGTCGCGAATGAAACCGCAGTGTCTGTTAACCGTGTTATCGTTTTATTGTTAAATAAACCACAAAATCTACAATAATAATAATCATAGTATCATAGAGTCTCCGTAGGAACGGAGGCGTTCGATCCTCGCTTAAAACACATCCACTGATTTATTTCTACGATTACCGATTATCGACTATTCTCGTGTGTGAACCGTGTAAAACTGAAAACATCCGACAAGTGAACGGTAGCGAAGCGAACGATGTTACTTAATCATCGTGATTCGTCGGTATAGAGTCGTTCAAGATTCATAGAGAACATCGTTATCGTATCTTTTTTTCCATTTTCTTCGTCATCTTTTTTAATAACTCGAAGTTAAGTCGGTGACAATTCTTCGTGAATAATAGCAATATCGTAATAAGAGTTCGCTAGTGTTTTTTTTTTTTTTTCATTTTTCTTTCTGTCAGGATTTTTTTATCATTTTTTCCTTTTGTTCTTTAATATCGCATATAGCGTCGCCGCGTTCTGTTTAATTACCTATACATACATATGCATATTCATATATATGCGCTCTGTTATTTTATACATTACATACATGTATATGTATGTACATGCTTGGGTTTCGTCCCCCCCCCCCTCAAAACCCCCACTCTATTTCTCCATCGAACGAGTATTCTTTTTGCTCACACGCATCAGGCACTCCGTTTTGCTCGCACACAGCCACACGTTCGTTCTTTTTTTCTTTCTTCTTTTTCATTTTTCTTCTCTTCTCCTCGCCCGCCATGATCTTTCACGGATCGGCAAGTTGTCTTAATTTTTTTAATAACTACGCTACTCCCTTTCTCTTCCGCTTCGTTTTCTTCTCCACGTTTCCTCGAATCGCTCACGCTAACCACATTTCGTACGTTCGCGGATTCTCTTCTTCCTCCATTTCACAAATTATCTATATATATATATATGATATATATATATATATATATATTAACACAATTTTTTCCTATTATAATCGTGAGTAACGAGTAACCCTCTCGGTATGGCGTTTTACGGTTCATCGCTGGTGTGAACGGTGCTGTCGATGATTAATAGTGCGCTATGGACGTTTTTTTTCTCTTGCTGCTTACTTTACAGAGTATGTATAGTAAAAACGAGATTTCTACAGCTCGCTGAGTCGTTATAGTTCTATTATAGTATCGACGAATGATTGGTTAGTGCTGACGATGGTTGGCCGACTATAGTCGGCAAGCGAATATAAAAGCGTACCGGCTTGCTGACTATAATCGTCGCGCGCAATTCTCGAGATTCAAAGCACGGGAGTATGACTATAGTCAACAACGTCCTAAATATGCGCTTCACCGCTGACTATACTCAACTTGCAGCTTAAGTAAGCGTATAATGGCGGCCGACTATAATCGGCTTACAGTCAAAAAGTATATAAGTACGCAGGGACCGTCGACTTAATAGCCGACGAGTTAACTTAGATGAAAGACTTTAATTCCGTACTATAATCGTAAGGGTGAACGGTTGCATTCACCGTGCCGATAACAGATCAGCGACTATAATCGACTTAAGGTCTCGAGTCGCACGTGCAAGTCACCTTAGCCGGTACGTGTTCCGTACTTGATACGATTAGGTTATAGTCACCCGAAACAAGCGACCATCATGGTGACTATAAACGACGGCAGCATAGAAGGTAATCTTGGCCGACGTATAGACCTAGAAGAGCGAACTGTAGTCAATGAGAAGTCTGACGAGACCTTTGATTACAGTCAACATTCGTCAAAAGCACATCCGCGACTATACTTGGCTCGCAGGCTTAAGTATACGACTATAGTACATGGCCATACCGGAATGGGTTAAGCACTCGTTTCACAGACGACTGTACGATCTCTGATCGACGTCGTTGCACGACTATTATCTTTCCGCGCTACGACCGACTGTACGTTTGCACCCGTCCCTCCTCTTCCTCGTCCCACCGTTCTCATCATACTCTCGTCGTTTTCTTCGCTCGTTTCGTTCGTTCTCGTCTTAACGCACAGTCTCTACTATCTATACACCTGTTCGTCGTATTCTTTCGCTAAAATTTCGCCACGTGATCGAATCAAGTACAGGAAGTCTTGATAGAGAGCGATACAGTCGGGGAAGAGAATCGCGTAGGACGATCGCCTACGAGTCTTCCGCATGAAACTCGATTCTGGCGTGAATACCACGCGAGAATAGTTAGCCGATCTCATTCGGAAAATCGAATAACGGCCTTTTCCCGAGTATCGTGGAATTCGGCTATATCGTTCGATACGATGGGAAAAGGAAGTAAAGGGAAAGAAAAATTTTACAAGAATAACGCGGACGATCCACGCCAAGGAACGTTTTTCTCCGTGGAAGGTGAGAAACTAATGGTCGATTCTTTCCTGGGCAGGTCAGTAAGGTATATAGATTATACATATTTATAGTACATATACTTCCGAAGAGGATGTCCTATGGTTACATTCCTACAAGCGAGTACTTCAAGCGTATGGATACACGGGAGAAACAAAGGTTTGTACAAAGGGCGATCTCAGAGGGATAAGAATCGTACGAGAACACGTACGTGTCTCGACTATATCCTTGACTATACATACATCGTAGAAACGAGAGATATTATCGTTACATTACTACTTATATTGCCACTGCTTCTTTCTTTTTTTTTTCTATTCGCGAAAAATATCTCCCTATCTCTCGGAATCGCTGTCCCTAACTGCGAAAATAGTAGCAGTGTCTTTAAATATCGATCGACCGCGATGGTTTTTACTCTCCTTGACTTTTTCCTTCTCGATTCGTCGCTTCTTACCTTTAATGGAGGTAAAACGCGTGGAAGTGGTACGGACAGAATCGCCAGTGTGGTGCAAAAGTAAAAAGCTTATAAAAATTCGATCGTGTGTGTGTCGTAAGGTCCGTCTTTAAAATTTTCCACTAAAAGGTCTCGAAGACTCGGCTTCGTCGGGTTCACCTTTTCCTCTCGATTGTCGTTAAAAAAAAGCGTTATGCTAACTCTCGATCGATACTGTTGAGTCTCGAACGAACCCGATAATAGTTTGGATCTTTCAGTTCAGGTCACTTTTCCTTAGCGAAATTAAATTTTAATTTATTGCGTTCAAACCTAATTGTTTCGTAATATCGAACCACGAACAAATTCGAAAAAATTTCGCAACATTCATCGATATCTTTACCACGGTATAAAATTCGTTTGTTAACCAAAACGTCTGAGTTCGTTTATATTTCGTACTTTACGCAATAAATGTCATGTAAAACATAGAATAGAAATTAAGATAAAATGCTTTATAATGAAGCCACTCTATCCAAGCTATTATTGGTCACCTATATCCCAATCGTACCAATCGAGAGTTAAACGACGTTAAAATAGGGACTCAATTTCATCCTTATGTACATGCACGACTGTTCGTGATCGAGATCGGAAAAGGGATGCGTGCTGATTAAAGTCTTAACTATTTTAGTTCTACTAGTACGAATCAGGAATCTACCAGTACGTTTCGAAGATGGACCAGAAGAAAGTGGAACGTCTAGAACAGTTGTCGTTTAGAATGAAGTACAAGCTCGGATCTTGCGATAGACTATTTTCCTGTTAGAGCGTGATAGGTACAACTTAGTCGTTTCTTCAAAGATATTACAGAACCGACCAAATATTGGAATTTGGATTTTGGAATCGTGTAAATTAGTTGATCAGCCTCTTAAATTAGTCGCATGTATCGGAAATCATACGAGAAAATGCTCACTAATAAAAAATACTCGTAAATAGATTCGATGAAATGTTCGAACGATGGTGCCACGTTTATCAATGAGATTGTTAATAATCGGAAATTATATCGTACAGCTGTTTGCCATTTTAATTCGACTTGTAATTATTTGTAACGAAAGAACATGTTACACGATAAACGTAAGAGACACGTTAGAAAATGAGATTAGTTTCCCAGGATTACAAAGAGTACTGATAACATTGAGCCTATAACACGTGAAGTTTAATACGAAATTTTTATTGCGTCGTTCGTTCAAACTTTACATTCGTGTAGAAACGAAATTACTCGTAAAAAAAGAATACAGATATTTTTTTTTTTTTTTTTTGTTTACCATCCACTCGAACCAATCGAAAACGGAAGCAAATATAATTCGTTTATTTATTGACGAATTTCGTATTAAATTAATCACTATTATAATTTAAAAACATACTTGTTCTTAAAAATATCGTAATATATATATATATATATATATATATACACATATACATATATACACACACACATATATATATATGTATATATATATACACTCCGCAGTGAAATGAATTTACAGATACAGAGTTTCTTCCCCTCGTTTTGCTTTTCAAACGATTACTCACCACCGTCATAGTTCGTACGATACGAAGAACTAAAACGAAACGGTACGAAATCGGAAATGATCGTAACTAGACTGCAACTTTTATGCAAGCTTGTTTTCTTTTTCGTGGACACAAATAAAAGAATAAAACTTAAATAGAGATTCGTTTTACCCATTAAAAATTACAACGAGTTTACTACTTTGAATGCTTTATATATTTCGGTACATTATATGCATTCTGTGCATCTCTTTGTATCTTTAAAACTCTGTAGGAATGCATAAAAATCCGCAGTCTAATCGTAACAATAAACTACAATTCATCGCAATTCAAGCGTTTGCTGTTCATCAAGCGTACAATATCGGACATATACAGTGCTTAACTACGCTACTTTAGCCACGATCGTTCAAAACGTGCAATTCGAATAGAATTCTCGACTTAATTTTTTTTGTTTCTCGTGAATAATACGAACGATTAATGGTCCATCTTGGAATTTCCGTGGAATCAGCGAAAAGACAGTAGCCTTTTCTTTTTTTTTTGCAAATAGAAGTAGCTACTGGAGCATCAGGGATAGCCCATGACGATAATCTCTAATTCCATGTTCGAAGCTCAGTGGTTCTCAAATGAGGTTTCTAATTCTTCATACATGATCAAATAATCATTTCTGTTCCACAGAGACACTTGATAAGGATATCATAGATTTATGATATTTGTGATTCGTCCAAAGCATCGAATCGAACGCAAAATATTTGATTCGTGGCTTTAATTAACGCGACAGAAAGCCATCGCTAAATCTCGCTCGATCGGTACAGCAGCGATTAAATATACGTATACCTTTTGCGAGTTAACTTCTTTTTTTTTCTCTTTCTCTCTCGCTCCCTTTTTCTCACGTATATACATATGCACACCACACACGCATACATATATGCATATATATACATATTAAATTACTTTATTAATTTGTTTTCTTTACACAATTATTACAATTTATTTACTAGGTGATTCGAAACGGTGCGACATGATGATAGTAATAAGAAGACAAAGAAAAGAACAAAAAACTGGTGGTCTCTGTAGTGGTAACGGTGATGAAAATGTCAGGCAAACGACGAATATAGTTGTTCTCGAAGAGTCAATTAATCATTTTTTTTCCCTTTCTCTCCGTCTAAATCGCGTTTCCCTCCATGTCACTTTCATTTGCTCCCATCTCTTTCACACTCTCACGCGCATCTTCCATTCAGCTCGTCTTTCTCTCTTTACAACAATGCAGCAATATCGTTAACTGCTATCGTTAAAAATTAATCTACATATTTATATAGATGTACACACATATACGTAATTGAATCGTATGCACGTATCATATGTATATACCTATACGTATGTATATGTATATTATATACACACACATATATGTAAGTATTTATATATATAGACTTTCAGTATTTTACATGGGCTCTTCCCTCACCTGATGATTTCCCTACATTTTGCAAATGTTTGTGTAATGTATGTTTGCGTGTATGTTTGTAATCGAATAACGCTAGAGTCTCTCGAAAGAAGCAAAAAAAAAAAAAAAAAAAGAGGCAAAATAAGGAAATGTCGGTGTCCATTCGCTAGTAATTGCACGGAATACAATTTAATTCACCTAATTTAACGTGGATTTCATCCCTTTAATCATATACGATTCTCATATCACGATAATCATATCTTCCTTCTTCTCAGACTATGAATCAACTTTCTGCCTTCTCTAACTGGTAACAAAATAATGTTCAAAGCACGCAAAATCGCAGAACACGTGAAAGACTGGATTAGAACTAAATCGATGAATTTCTTTATTAATCGAATAATCACGACAATTAACCAACAATTTATACTTCAGGTTGTCCATGAATTTTTCACATTCGTCTTTTTTACTCTTGTTTCCTCTTTATCTATTTTATTTTGTTCTACCTTTCACAGTTAGATTCGTGACCATTTTTCGGTTTCTCATCAGTCGGGAAGATCAAAATTAATAATCTCCGTTTGAACCTGTTCGGTCGATAACTCTTCCTCTTGTTTTTACGCACGGATATCGCGTCTCCTTTTTTTCAAGATGTCGGTTGACAAGGAGAACGAAGATACATCAAGCCAGCTGCTGCCTGAACATATAAATAATTTAAATCTACAATAATTACATATTTCTTCTTTGCAATCATATATGAAAACTATATCGCATGCTTATGTAATCTGTTCGAGCTTCTCTGAAGTGTCCTCGACAGCTATATAGCTTGCCTAATGTTTCTTTCAAGGGATCCGTTGTCTCACGGCGAAAAAATGATGGCTCGATTATTAAGCAAACGCAAAACTAATGGCGACGCCTATGGAATCTCCAATGTACGCTTGGAATTTTTTGTGATCAAAGATCGAAGTTCATAAACTTTGAAAGAAACGAATCGTTATATAATTATTTAAATAATACATTGTATAATTTTAAACAAAAAACGAAGAGGCGACCATTACGTTAGCATATACTTAATACGTATGGATTTATGTACGAGTAAGTGCTGGAAAGATACCACCATTATTAAAAGTGCCACGATCGACACGTATCCGAACATCCTGTTTTTTCTTTTTCAACGCAAAAACGAGAAATTATCCTTCGGTCGTCAGAACGCAAAGACTCGTCTTCGTAATTTTCATGATCGTGTATCAAAAATCTCATGTACTTCCCTCCGTTTTCGTTTAGACTAGAGGAAAAACGAAATCGATAAATTCACCTAACTGTTCAGCTAGTAATGAAAGAAACTGTCCGTGTTAATTGTTTAAAAACGTAATCTACATCATATCAACGTTCATTAAAACTCTGAAACAAATGTCTTAGCATTTCTCTTTCTCTCCCATTCTCACTCGCTTGCTGTCCCTTTCACTCTCCCACTCATACTTCCACCCACGTTCTCACTCTGCTACCATTCTATTTTCTTTCTTTCTTTTTCGTTATCCCTGTTCTTTTAATCAACGTTCGTCTTTTCCCTCTCTTTAAAAGGAAAAAAAAAAAGAAAAAAGAAAGGAACTAAATGATCGTTCGGTATGGACTTTCATCGGCAGCCTCTCTTTTCTGATTTCTTGCGGCGCGATATGATATGTAGAAACGTGCAAAATGGCGGCTAGGTCACGCGCGACATGCCCGGAAGGGTTCAGGGGTTCTTTTCTTTCGTTTTGTTACCGTTCCGCAGAATTGAAATTCATCACGCAAAATGCACAAATTTCCTTCGTACACCTCTTCTTTCATCTTACAATTCTCCAAGGCTACCATAGACGAGACAGCGATCTAGATATTAAAAAAGGTTCAACAATCTCGATCGAAGAAATTCAGAGGCCTCGTACGACTGCGCTTTCTCTATCGCGGGCATATAAAGTATGCATAGTAATGCGCACGAAAGGATAACTTCATAATTTGCTTACAAATCTTGTTCTTACATTTTTATCCGTCTGTCGTTCGCACGCTGATACAGAAAAAAGAAGAGGACATTCGAAATTTGTCGAAAAACTAAAGCACTTCAGGCGTAAGAAAAAACAACTTGTGGCCATTTAAAAAGAAAATCGCTCTCTGATGCGCAGAGCTTTGTCGCGTCTGGTGAAAAGTATCGCTCGGTGAAGCCGAGGGTTCGGTAAGACCAACGACAGAAATATATAATGATAAACGCGCGACGATTAAATCGAGTTGATTCATTCATTGAATAGAGGATCGTATTCCGACATATTTTTCTCCTTTTTCATCTGCTAATTGTGCTGGTATACGCAGCATGTCTCACGTCGCGGAAATTCGTCTTACGATAAATAGAGATTGTGCACGCAAATTACTAACGTGTGTGTTTATGTGTGTGTGTTTGGTGTTCAATCGTGACATTCTCCGCGTGAAAATTTCCCTATCAGTTGCGACAGCATCGATCGGCGCTTGAATCTTGAACACAATAAGAATATTATCTATGTAACAAGCGTGTTCTTTAATACGATATAATGATAAGTATTGTAATCGTCATTTCCCTTTTTCCAGTTCGTTGTTACGCATTCAAGAGGAAACGTCCGAGTCTCGGTTCCTATCCATACTGTTCTTCGCGAAAGCTGAGAATCTAGCGATCTCTTTCTCCTTGAATCACTAAAATTTGTCGAAGCCCGTGTCAAAAGGCAGGTGGCTCTTGTATCTCTTTAATAATCGCGATGATCGTGTATCTGTTTGTGTGTGTGTGTGTGCGCGTGTGTGTGTTGTCGAATTATGAGATGACGACGAGGCAAGCAACGTAACGCGCTACTAGACATAGTGTATCATAGATTACACATCGTTTGGTTTGTCTTCAACTAGAAAAAGTTCGCGTTCGTTATTATCTTTCTTTTTTTTTTTTGTTGTTTTGTTTCTTTCTTTCTTTGTTTATAGCAATTATCAATTAAAAGAGGTTACGAGCCAGTTCCTATAACATATATATACATTGAATTGAATTGTTTGTTATGCTGTTTTTGGCAATAAGGTGGCAATCAAGCGTTCGCACACGCCACTCAAAATTCGAGGTGTCCTCAGGCAAAATTGTTATAAAGAGGGGAACTATTCATCTTCTTTATTCAATAATCCTATAATATTTCGTCGTTCGTGTTTCAAGCGAACAAAGCTTAAAATACCACACTGGTATCGCCATTTGCATAGAGTTCAAAAAAATTTACAATTGGGGATTCTTTGTGTTATGTGTATGTTATATCGTCTATGGACATCCTCCTCAGAAGAATATCAATCTTTCTTCTATTCTTTTTTTTTCGTCCTTGCTATACCGTACTTGAATTTTTTTCTTTTTTCGTTTCTTTTAAGGCTAGTTTCTAACACGCGAATTCTTGGCTTTTCCTTTCTTTTTCACTCTCGCTCCCTCTCCTTCTATCGTTATATCTCTCTTTTTCTCCTTCTCTCATTCTCTCTTTCCCTTTCTCCCTCTCCCTCTCTCTTTCTCACTCTCTCGCCGTGTTTTCTATCGTTTGTTGTTTAATTAAACGTTAAAAATAGAAAGCAGCTTAAGCCATGTTCGACTGGCCGGGGTCTGTGTTCTTTGAAGAGGACAGCGTGTTGGTGTTCACGTTATTATCACTAGAGTTACCGCTACTCCCCGCGACCGGTTCCGACTGGCCTCCAGGATTTTCCGAAGTCTGCATGTACTTCGGTTTTAGGATCGAGTTTAGCGACGGTTGAATTCGTAGCTCGTACTCTGTAAAGTTAAACAAAGGGGGAAGCTCTCGCCCATTTGGTAATCGCGTCCCCTGTTCCCGAAGTTCGTCGAAAAACGGATGAGCGCACGCTTCCAACGGTGTGATCCGGCCGGATGGCGTGTACTCCAAAAGTCCAGCGACCAACTCCATCGCTTCCGGGGGTGTGCGTGCCCTGAACACCTGTAATCATCGTCGTCATTAGTTTCGATCTGTCCTGGTAAAATTTTCGTGGTTAATCTGTGGCTAACAAGGAGAAATCTCAAGATGATCTTGTTTCTCGATGTTAATTTCTGTTACTGGACGAAGGTTCGTTAAGAAAGAAAAAATTATTCCTCGGGATTTGCCCACTTTTTACAGTAGCGAGGATTTTACAGTAGAGGCAAGAAATTTTGTTCGTCTGTTCAGGGTTACGTAGTCTCGATATACTCGCTATTAGATTGTGCGTGTTCGTGCAAATGTATATTTTTATGAGAGATTTATAGCGAAAAAGTGGATGATCAGGAAGTAGCCTTGACTTAAAAAAAACTTTTCACCTCCACCATAAGAAATAGCATAGCAATACAAACTGAACGAAATCCTATACCACAAAGCAATAAAAAACGGCAGCAATAGGTTCCGCTTATAAGTTCGTTTGAAGTTTCGTATCTGATCAGTGTATATTAGGTGTATTACAATCGATATTAGTAGTGATGAACCGCTTCGGTTTTGGTATTTGTTCTCGTATAAAAGTTTATCCACCCGAGGAGCTGACCGTTCGGGAGGCGAAGTCAGATTCATTCGATGTTCGCTGCTTTTTATCTGTTCTCTAATAAAATGTGTTTACTCCGGGAGAACATAATTCGTACAGAGGAAGATCGTTCGATATATGAAATTAACGATCCATAAAAATCGTATCATTAAGATACTCGGTAGGCACAAAAGCAGTGCGTGAAAATGAAAGAGATGATAAATTTAGATCTTACAAACGGTAAGTTGGTTTCGCAGACAGTCTGTTGTCGCTCTTTACGATGTACAAGAGAGAAAAGAAAAGAAATGAAATGGAAAGAAAAGGAAAAAAAAGAAAAGAATAATTGCATACCATTTTCAAGTCAGTGAAAAATATTTTTGTTCACCACCAGAACATTAGAGTAAGTGATACACCGAGATTTTGAACAGATCTGTTTCTATTTAAAAAGTTAGTAACGTGGATGATAATGATGATGATGATGATGATGATGATGATGATGATGATGATGATGATGATTATGATGATGACGATTATGAGATAGAAAAATGGATATTACACATGAGTTCGAGAAAAGATGCACGTCGAGCGATTTGTGATGCGAAGAATCGAAATGAAGGTGGTTTTTTTCAATCGTCGAGGCTCGTCGTCCTCCGTTCGACACAGCGGTAACTGAGCATCGTATCCAGCTTATTTCTTACCGTTTCAGATGCTGAAAATGTTGGTTATACTGGTTAGTAATATCACGGGCTAGAGAGAAAAAAAAGGAATATTTGCCAGCCAGTAAATGATAAAGACACATTGCTTTTTGAACAGGGGACCACTTACTCTAATCTTTTGGTGCTCCGTGGAACACTTTAGTCCACTCATTCGTTGAAGCATAAACTGTAACCACGAGTAACCATGTGTTGATGAATGTGATTAGAGACGATTTGTTAGTTAGAAGGAACAAGACTGCGGAACAAGACCTTACCCTTCAACGATTCCATCGCTATTCTTTACAATTTTTTTCACACAATGTGGTCACAAGAAACCTTATTAACACAATAATGTTTCCCTTGCAAAGGGATCATCTGAAGAGCGTGCACTGATTTAGATATTACGTTTTTCTCTTTCTCTACGCTAGTTTTACGTTTCCATAGACATTAAATATTTCAATTTTAAATTGAAATATCTTTACTCCTGCGAGATATAATTTCTAACGAAAATAACATTTGGCAAATCACCGAATATCTATGCAAACGATGTTGTTTCTCGGTAGACCTACTATTCTTATAAATTCTCTAAATCATTGAAATCAGAGCACACCAGATCATCTGTTTCCCCCGTTAGTCACGAAACCGCCAAACATGTACGCAGTACGCAGTTACGAAATTAGACGAGCTACAGGAAAACCCGTCTCGACAGTCTAACTTATTGCGCACAAAGGGCGCATAATACAACGAGTAGATCAGATGATAGGCTACCTTTTGCCACGGGTGCGCCTTAATCTGTGGAAATTTGAACTCGGTATAGTTGGGATTCATCTCACGTATCTGGTCGCGTGTAGGTGTGCCGAGCACCTTGATGATCTCGACCAGTTGATCCACGCCACTATCTCCGGGAAATATCGGTTGGCCGAGCAACAATTCCGCAACTACACAGCCTGCGCTCCACACATCTGTAAACGCGATAAAACTTTTTAATTAGACATATAAACGAAAGAAAAGAATAAATCTCTCTATTTTCTGTCCCGCCTTTTTCCTGTATTTTATATTTTATATTTGTTTTATATATATTTTGTGTGCCATATTTCTTTCTAGTTTATCATATTCATATAAGTAAAGTGCCTTGACGCATTGCCAGCCAATCTTTCAATCTTTAACGTAATAAATAGACTGCGGATGTTTATGCAAATTTATACTTTCATAAGCATGACTAAAAAAACGGAACTTAAATAGAACCGCAAATACTGTTACGGGGTCGATTCTGTTCCTCTTGCATGATTCTTTGTCCATGCTACGTACATTCTATATACATTCTATACAATTCTACACGTACGATGTATTTAGATCTGTACGAGTCGAGGCTACGGAAACGACTGGCTGCTGTCCTTTCTATTTAATCAATATCCCGGATATAGGTAAAGTCGTCTTCTTGATTTTCTGTTACGATACGCATTGCCTTTAACGTTTCACGCTGCGGCTGTCGGATAGTTTTGACGTTCCACATTGTGACTTTCGAACTTTCAAATATCCAGAATTCTATTATAGCAATCTGCTTTACTTTGGATATTTTGCGCGCTTGTACATATCGTGTATAGCCTACGTTTTTACACGCTCCAATATCTTTCAAATTTGGAATGATTTTCGTACGTATCGAACAAGTAAGAGATTCTATAAAAATTTACTAAAATACCTTCAAGTACGTAGTTTAAGCTGATAAAATTCGAACGTTCAAAGAAGGTTAAACAACCTTTTATTTACAATTAACGAAACTGGTATTCTGCCAGGCACATGAAACAGTCTACAGTACACCATTCAATGAATTAACTAGAATCGAATGATGTTAACAATAAAAATAATACATAAGTAATCGTACCAATCTTCGTGGTATAATCGATAGCACCAAAGATTAATTCGGGTGCGCGATAATAACGACTACAGATGTAAGACACATTAGGCTCTCCTTTGACCAGATGTTTAGCAGAGCCAAAATCACAGAGCTTCAAGACACCGGATTCTGGGTCCAGGAGTAGATTTTGTGGCTTGATGTCCCTGTGACAGATCCCCAGCGAGTGGATGTATGCCAGAGAGCGGAACAGTTGGTACATGTACAACTGGAAATATATCACAAAAAATGATATTAGAATGTTATGCGTGAAATTGAAAATGTTCCGATTATAGCGACTGATGAATCGAATACGAGGAAAGCTTTAGTTGGTCTACGGTTTAATTGCGTCTATCGATAATTATGGATAATTATTGTATGTCATATGATTTTATGTAAGATCGAGTAATTTTGCAATCTATGACACGTCGTTCTGTAGAATGAAACGAATTCGTATTATATGTATGAGCTGGTATATTACGGTTGATTAAGATAATGATATTCTTGAATTAAAGATGTCTTGGTTATTTATTTTTCAACGAATTGAGAATTATGCTGTATTCTATTTGAAATTATTACGTCGTGTATAAAACCTCTTGCGGTAGTGGTTCAACGATTATTATTGTAATTTTCAGCTTACCTTAATGAAATTTATCGGTATGGTTTGCTTGCTTTTGTTATAATGCCGAGCGACTTTATACACTGTTTCAGGTATGTATTCCAACACTAGGTTCAGATAAACCTCGTCCTTCTAAAAGAAATCCGCAAAGTCTTTTGTTAGTACGAATCTACACCATCGACATACGAAGTAGTGTACCGTTTCAAAGGCACACGCGACTCGAGAGTAAATTCTTTTGCACGGCTTAGTTGCTTGTTTCATCGTAGAAATCGATCAGCATGAATTTTACATGACGAATTACGCGAAGTGCCTTTGAACCGTGCACACGCAACTCCAGAAGATTATTTTCTATAACTAGTCAAGCTGCGTTAGCTACTACAGCTTGAATCAAAAATATAGTCACTCAAGGATACACTCCACTACTCAAAGTTAGGAAAAAACAAGAACAACGATTATAAAGTACCGTGCGAAAGTTTTAGGCCACCCATCGAACAACAATTTTTTGTGTTTTTTTATTTCTCGGTGTCACTTTAGATTTGTCGTTACTTCATAAAGCAGACGTTCAATTCAAAAATTACTGGTAATTTGTTTAAAAACATAATAACGGTATTTCACTGTTTCTTAGATCTCGTCGAATAATTTTTCGACAATCATTGAAATTTATTTTCTACTATTCGATATTTTGTTTTCAGTATTTCAAATAAATCACATTTTTCGTTTACTCCGTTCTGATTGATAGCTCATCTAGAATCTATCTAAACACGCGTTTTATAACATTTAGGCAATAACTGGACACAATTTTTTAATTTCCTAATGTTCCTTCCTCGCTCGTAAATATTTTCTAAAAATACGATTGATAAATATAATGATTGAATAAAGCTCGCTATCATTGATGGCCTGAAACGTTTGCATCGTACTGTATCTCTATATAAAATCAGTCTATTTAGAAAAAATAAAATTCCAGAAATAATTGACACTGTGCAACACACGTGGAACCAAACTATGATTCGTAGGGGTGAGGGTAGAGTTTCCAATATGATTGGTGATGGGGCTGGCGGCCTTGAGCAACGAAGTTCTTTGACTCAGGCTATAGACTTCGTATTTAGTGTTCTACGATGTTCGCGGCTGACACATAACAACAAAAACGTGTTATCGTTTTTTTTGTCGTTAATCTGTCTACGTGTAAGCGGAACTGCCTAAATTCTCTCAAAAAAAGGACCTCTCCGTCAAAACTACTGGGTACTCTCTTGTTCACTTACGTCCACATGAAAAACTGGATTAGTTGCGTTTAAGATGTTCTACAAAATAACACAACAACGTCGCATGCATTAAACTAACAATGAATACTTGGCGTTTTGTATCATTGTGTATCATTCGAGAGAAATCAGAAGTATCGCTCTACTGCATTTAATTCCAAAAGTATTCGAACAGTAGCAAACTACGGCTCAAAAATCAATTAAATTTGTTTTTCTTTTTTTTTTTTTTTTGTTTTCTCGAAATGCTCGACAAAATTATACGTAATTATTAAAGCAAACGATATTTTAACGTGATGTTTAAAAAATTTTGAAGAGGATAAAAAATCTCGTTTAGCTTCGAGGATCAATCGTCTAAAAAAGACAATTTTAATAACACGGGATTGAGCGAATTTTAAAACTGCTTCCCTGTAAAAAAAAAAAAGAAAGATACAAAATACGACATCATATTCTTCCTTTGTACTCCTCAATTCTTTCGTAATTAACTCAGATATATCGCTGTACGGTTAAATTTTGTTACTATCCAAATACTTTTAGATAATATCTGTATATCGTGAGTATAATCGAAGAAAAAGAAGAAAAAAAAAGAGAGAGAGAAAGAATCAAGGGAAATAATTTGCGTGACGCAAGAAACGTTCGAATAAAAAAAATTGTGTGAAAAGAAAAATCCACTTTCTTATGGAGTAGATCGTACGTCCAACAATAATTGCTTCAACGTTCAAAATTTCAATCGAGTGTACGGAATTATCGTTAAAAAGAATCTTAATAAATAGTTACCTTATCGCCACTGGAGTAGAAGAAGTATTTCAGTTTTACAATGTTGCAGTGCTCGAGACGCCGCATGATTTGTAACTCCCTGTTCTATAAATAAAAGGAAGGGAAAATCCGATTAATTCACGTAGTTCCTCGTTCGTGTTTACTTCGTCGCGACGACGGTGTTTCCCTTATCTTCGATTAGAATCGTTGTTAAGCACGTTTGTTGTTACATTCCCGAGATTTAATACGGAGATTGAGGTCGTGGATTATCGTTTCTCAAACATTGCAATCTCGCAAAACATAAATCTAATTTTATCGATACGTAAATACGACGATATTATTCGGTCGTCTCGGATCGGACGAATTAAACAATTTCATCGAACAGCGATAATTTATCTCTACTCGTACAATTTCCTTCCTTTTCGTTTTATCTCTACGACTATCGATCAAAGGTAAAAACTATAGAAAGATACAGCAGAATTTGTAAACGCATTCGAGGATTAAAAAATGAGAATTTACTTTTAAGTATAGGCTTGTCTTCGCAGACCCTCTGTTTCCGAATCGGAGCTACCTCGAATCGACGAATTACTATAATACGCGTTGGCAAATGATCTCTAGCCTTCATACAGCCTATATATTTCCAACGTGCAGAAAAAGAATCTGTTCGTTCTATCCAGACCTTCGTCCGTTCCCTGCACTATAATTTCTGCTAATTTCTTACTGTAGAAAAATACAGATTGGTCAATCCGATCGTTAAATCCAGGTACGAACGACGACTAGTTTCTATCGGTCGAATTTCAATTTCAAGTTGAACGTTACTTTGTAATTGCAAATCGTAGTGAGAAACGTTAGAGGATCTGCGAATTTATTTTTTTATTAATTCAACAATTAATACGCGTTTAGTTTGTCGTATCGGTTAGAGGTTGAAGGTGTGTGGAAATTATTAAGAAATTATTTATCGAGGAATTTTCTATTTCTCTTACCTTAAATCGTTTGTCTTGGAGAACTTTTTTGATGGCGACCAGTTCTTCCGTGTCACATAGTTTCGCTAGGTATACAACGCCGAAGCTGCCGTTACCGATTACTTTAGTGTCTGTATAGGAGATCTCTTGGGGACGATCTGGACCAGCACCAGGTGTAGCCACCACGGTTGTGACTTTGTTGCCATCTCTATCTGCATTATACATCACACCGCCCATAGAAACAATCGAAAACCAGAATGGTAAAGTACAAGTAGAAAGTAAGAAGGTATAGTAACGATTTGGAGTCGTATAAAAAAAAAAAAGGGAAAAGAAAGAAAAAGAAAAATAAGGAAAAGATGAAACAGTAAATTGATTCTACGAAGCAATGGACTCATGCTCGGTGCTATAATTTTTGAAGGTTTTGTTATTCAAAGAATTTTATGAAACAATTATGATTGTTCAACACGTTGACTGCTACGTAAGTTCACGCGAGGCTGCTCGTACCAGGAAATTAATCGAATGATTTAAACTCTGTAAACAATCGTGTTCGAGGAGATTTTCGATATTTTGATCTACGTGACGGTAACGTTACGAAGTATTAAATGCGTTATAAAATGGTTGAAGAATTTTATTTTTTAATAAACGTATGTTGCGTATCCGCGTTCAAAAGTATGAGAATCGTCGATGAATTTCTAACAAAACATCGGTAGATAATCCACTATGAAACGACAATTATTTCATGAAATTCATACTCCATTCGTTCATATTCAACTTTGATTACGTGAGTTTAGAAAAAGTACTTTTTCAAGAGAATATCGTCATATTTTTCCAACATTTTTCGAAAGCTAAACTACGTGTCATGTGGGAATGAACAATAAGCAAGAATCACAGTCAATAAACTTCAAATTGAAGTCAACGTGTTAATACTTAGAGGACTAGATGTATTGAGTTGGCGACTAAGTGATCGCGGATTTTGCCATTAGGTGGTATTGACAAAATCCGCGATCACTTAATTGCCAACCCAATATAATACGCGTAGCTAGAAAATAGAAGAAAATTTATAGAAAGATGAAGTAGATCGAAGAAAATGCGCCAGGAATTTGTAAGTTATAAAGCGATACAGTTACGATTTATTCGACTATAATTTAAGCACGAAATAGAAATATTTCAATTACATCAATAACGATTAACGTAAACTATGAATTCGTCGGAATCTTATCAATTGAAATGATCGTCATTTTGTTTCATTACTCTTGTTTTCGAGTTAATCGCCGTAAACAGTATAAAATCCTACTTAAAAAAGAAATTCTAGAATCCTGTTCCATTATTCCCATCGTATCGATTTTCGATGCATCGTTTTCGAGCCGAACAACATCCTGCGCGGCCTCAAACTTGAAAACGATTTCGAGGAGCATCAACACGAGGCCAGACACGAAAGAATGTACAACACAACATCGAAGGAGTCGCAGCACACAGTCGAAATAGCCTCGTCGTCGTGAAAATAGCGCGACGATCCGAAATAGCGCGATCGTCCATTCGGTTTTATTGCGGAAAAGTCAGCATCGAAAACGACTGCTCCCTGTTCGAAGACGAAACAATCTTGCCGAGAATTTTCGCGCTTTAACCTCGTCGTTAACCATTCGTTACGCTTGTAACGCCCAACCATAGAGCTGTATCGTTCGTCGAATAAGAATTGAAGCAATGTTCGTTGAAAACATACAGAGTCGTTGCATACAGCAAAAAAAAAAAAAAAGAAAAACAAAAAAACCTTGAGCCGAGATCCAAAATATTTACCATCTAATTCGACGATAGACGATGAAAAGCATCCGACGATGAATTTGGAGATGTCGAGATTATTAAAAATTTACTGTATTATTTTTCCTACAGTTTTATCGAGGGACGTAATAAGAAAATGTTTGAAAGTCTGCGTAAAACACAACGTTATAAAGGCAACGTTAAATTTGCAATAAAATCGGAGGATATAGCATTATGGTATGATCGAATTCGTCTTGTTGTTCTTTTTATCTATCCGTTTGTTTCACCAAAAGAAGACCATGTAACCTTGAGATCTTGAGAAATATTGCAAGATCTTCGATAGAAAGCGAGGTTATCGTAGCAGTCGTTAGTTGATGATAAGATGATAAAAAAAAAAGAGGCTATTAAAAGAAGCGTAGTGTTTTGTAACTCGAAGGAAGTTAGCGAGCAGTTAACGAAGAAATAAGAACGGAGATCAGTGAAATCACTGCTTCCTCTTGCTTTATATCCGCCAAGGTCGTACAATCATCTAGAATTAGAGGGGAGATCTATGAAAATTAGTGTTTACCATAGAAATTCTCTAACGTTTTTACGGCGAGATTTCCCTATACGTTTCTACACTGGTGGCAAAATCTGCAAGCTTTCATCGTCGATAAAAAAAACACCGTGTTTATTCCTGTACATTCTTTTAAGAAGAAGTCTACCGACGATTTTGTTAAAAAATATTTATAGTCAGAAAAGGATGGCTACATTTTAGAAACGTAAGGGTAGCGAGGTTGTACAGCGATGCGCGATCTTAATCCTTTGTACGTGAAAGCTGAAGAGAAGAAGAGAAATCTATAACCTCTAACTAGTCAATACGTTGATATTGTTAGTCGATAAATAATTATGCGACAGAGCGCCAAAGTTCTTGAACCGCGCAGAGTTAATTAATCTTCGATTCTTGAAAACTTCAAATTATTACTTTAACTACGAAAAGATCGCTCTGTCATAGGATTACCTTCGAATTTAAAGGTTATCGTATATCAAAAAACGAGATGGACCAACGAACGTAATCGATAAAAACAAACACCTTTTACCCTTGTCCTGCTTAACACCTAGAAGAAAGGAGAACTAAAACGCTGTTACAGTTTACACCGGTTGGATTCTTACACGGTTCGCGATTCTATTCTATTGCTCGATAGCAGCAGGCGCGTGAGAGGTATAACCTTGATAAGATGCGACGTAGGATAATGCGAGGGCCGCGTTTACAGACCGGTTTTCTCATTGAACCGCGGCTGAAAATAACCACGCGCCGCATAATTCAAGCGTTGTAACGCGACCGGGCCCGAAAATTCGCACGACCGTACCGGAAACCCGGTTGATGTCTCGCGATCGCGTTTATCGTCGTCGGATGAATCGAAACAGGCGCAGCCAACGATAACATGCCACGTGGGCCACGATTTACTTCTTGACATTTCGCCAACATCTTTCCCTTCGGTTAACCTTTTCCTCTTCCGTATCGTCACCTCTTTCCCTCTTCACGCAGAGTATTTCCAAGTTTCGATGCAGAGTAACGCGAACCGGCAGAGAACTGGGCGCATTTGTGATTTGTTTCTTTAACAGTTTGCGAACAGTTTCAAGGCGAATAGGACGTCGGTCGACTATCGTTGGAGAAATTTCAGGTTGAACGATTTTGGTAATTTCCTAGGGAATGCGAGGCGTACGAGATTGTAGAGGAAATGGTGACCTTTGGAATATCGTTAGGTTGATGCATAGAAAGTGTTGGTTTCCTGGATTAATCTTTAATCGCGCGTAGTTTCGCCAAAATATGTATATGTATGGTGTCTTTAATCGAAGAAATTAATCGCATTGTTTCAAATTTACAAGGATTATCAATTCTTGAACTGCAAAAATCTTGAAACGAAACTGTCGTAGTTTTCTTGTTCAAATAATTTATAGATCGAAGATTGTTTAAACGGAATACATAGAATGTCCTTGATTTTCTCCAAATGTATTAGGTTGTCCGAAAAATGTCTTTCTTTCGCAAACGTGTCTTTTACAACAATGCACTTTCATAGAAACGTGAAACCAAGTCTGTGAAACGTCGCGGTGTTTATCTCAGAACAGAACAAAATGGATCGTACGTAATTCGACGAAATAATATAAAACAAAAAACGATTTATTTATTGCGCGTCTATCATTTCCTCGTAAAATGAAAGAAACTTTTCAGACAACCTAATACAATGAAAAGCATTTACTGTCCCAATTTCTAAGAAGTAGTACACCAAAAAAGAAAGACAATTCCACTAAAATAAACATATTCCAAATTCTATACGCTTTATATAAAATTTGTATTTTTCTCGAATGTTTATGTCGGATCTACGATGGCCGAAAATATCTCAAGTACCATGATTTAAAATATAGTCGAAGTATCCAGAAGCTGATGCAAGATTAGTCGCGTCAACAGAATTTTAAAGGCCTTGAGACAGATATATGCTAACCTTGGTTCTAAGGAAACGTAGGAAACGTATCTCTGAAATTCGCAAAAGAGCCACGGTTATTTCGAAGTGGGAGCAAACTCCTAATTAGACTGTGAAGTTCCATCTCGCGAACCAGCTGATCGAAAAGTGCCAAGTCGAGGTGCGAAACATTACTAACGCTCGAAAATAGCGACAGCTCGTACATCAAGATCCTGAACTGCATCGTTCAGCACCTGTCCGCGCAACATTTCACGCGAATCGAACTTAGAAGATATTACAAGAAAGAATAACGAAGAACCGAACAATAATACGCGTTTAGAAGTAGAACCTTTAGACTTGGAATTACGAGAACCATGCGAAGATTACAATTTTCGTATCTTTTGGCAATTAAATTAGAACGCTGCATGTACAAAGGAACTTTGAACTTTGTCTCTAATTAGGTTTTAATATCGTTAAATGTTATTAAATATTATAGAAAGTATAGTTATTTCCTGTTACACACCTGTTTCTAATAAATATATTACAATATATTACTTTTAAATCGTTTTAATTTTTATACTCGACTCTACGAAGTAACGTGCAAGTATCAGCAATATATTTGATCTTGAATTTTTTTTTCGGGGATATAGTTCCCTGAAATAGTTGGGCAATTACTATTCCCTAGTTTTTATTGGAGGATCCTTAGGGACACGCGGGAGACGAAAGAAGTGGGTCAACCGGCAGCGATCTCTGGCAAAAGTGCCGCTTGGATCGGAGCCGGCTAAATCCAGCGTGCGACAAAAAGTGCAACCCAAGGATCCGGATGCACGTCAGCCTCCCTTTTACCGCGTTACGCGCGCATCAGAGGATTCACGACCTTTTTCCTGGCCGTATCGCACGGGACTGGCAACCGTGTGACATTTTGCGGCCAACCAGACGATGCACAGCCTTTGGCTCAACGGTGCATCGTCTAAAGCGATTGCAGGATCATGGGGTAGAATAATCGCGTTTTCTTTGACACGCAGATTTCCGCTGAT